TACATCCATTGCCGATTCATCTGCATTATTATAATATAAAATATATAATTAACCATCATGCATTTGTTAAACTAACTAGCTACAAATAATATAAATTAAACAATGAACTGCACACATGCATATTTTATCAATGACACATCAAAGGTTCATCAAGTTGCTAACCGCGATCGAGGAGTGTGGCTCCAACACTTCATGTCATGTTTGTTTCATGCTCTTGGGGCATTTCATCAAACACCTTATGTGCATAAGAGGAACCAAAAACAAACCTACACCCACTTGTGAAGAGAATGGCTCCAAATGGCTAAGTGTTGGCTGCTGGATGGGTATATATAGGGGAGGGGCTTTAGTTGCGGTTGGTCTGGCCAACCGCGACTAAAGGCCTTTGCGCACCTTTAGTCGCGGTTGGCCTGGCAAACCGCGACTAGAGCCCGCGAGCTTTAGTCGCGGTTGGCCAGGCCAACCGCGACTAAAGGTGCGCCTTTAGTCGCGGTTGGCCTGGCAAACCGCGACTAAAGCCCGCGAGCGCCCTGGGCTCAGGCATTTGGTCGCGGTTCATCTGCCGAACCGCGACTGAAGACTTCATTAGTCGCGGTTCCTACAGTTTCGCGACTAATGAGGCTGGACGGAAGCCTCTTTTTCTACTAGTGGTGCGTCGCACGCACAAGGTCCAGAGTCAAGAATCACAACAGTAGCAGCAGCAGCCACAAACAACAGCTCAACAATCGTTTTCCGTTCATGAGAAAAATGAAAACGCTGCCTTGCAGCATCGCGGCAGCATACACCGTCCAGACGACGCTGCGCCCGGTACAGTAACTGAAGCCGACGACCCGGAACCTTTGGTCGGCCTGCCCCGTCGGCGCGCACCGCCAGAACCCCACACGCATGCCCAAGCGAAACGCAGAAGCCATGGATCCACCGTGCACGCACCTCGCCGTGCCACGTAGTACTCCCTGCGAGCCCCGGGCCGCCACCTACCGCAGCAGCGGCGGCGGGGGAGCGGGCAACGGGGCCGTTTCCCCGTGCGCCGCACCGCCGCCCCGCTCGGCTCAATCCAACACGACGCAACACCCATCCCGCCGGAGTCAACCGCGTCCCCACCCCGTCTACCCCACCCGAACAGAAGCCAGGTTCGCCCCCACCAACCCACAAAGACCACCAAATGTGTCACACGGCGACGCACCACCTCGGGCCCGTCCCCGTAGTCGCAAAGCCGGGGAAAAGGCAGCGCGAGAGAGGAATCGCGGGAAAAATCACCGGCGCCAACCCCACGCCTGCCCGCGTATAAAAGTGCCGCGCGCCACCACGGCTGACATTCATCCCCCCAGCCAGCCCACTCGTCTCTTTTCCTGCTCCCGCTCTCCCGCTCTCATCATCGCGGCCCGAGCCGCTCCGCGCGCATGGCATTCGCTGCACACCACCAACTGCCGCACTAACGCGCATGCGCAGAGCAGACCGAGGTTTCAGCGGCCGGACAGGCTCGCTGCCCAGCCAGCTCCGACACCCGGCCCTCGTTCGACCGCGCGCCGCGCGGATTAACGGAAGGTGATCGATCGAGCTTGGAGCGCGATGGAGAAGGTGTGGGACTCGGGGCGGCGGATGAGCCGGAGCATCGGGCGGGGGATGGGGGTGGAGACGTGGGGCGTGGACGAGGCCTTCCTGCACGGCAGCGGCGGCGGGAGCAGGCGCGGGAGCAGGGGCCACGCCGACGACGACGAGGAGGCGCTGCGGTGGGCGGCCATCGAGCGGCTCCCCACCTACAGCCGCATGAGGACGTCCATACTCCAGGCCGAGGCGGACGCCGCGTCAGCCGCCTCGCCAACGAACGGGGCGGCGGAAGAAGGCAAGCAGCAGCAGCAGTACAAGGAGGTGGACGTGCGGAAGCTGGCCGTGGGCGAGCGGCAGGAGTTCATCGAGCGCGTCTTCCGCGTCGCCGAGGAGGACAACCGGCGCTTCCTCCGAAAGCTCCGCGACCGCATCGACAGGTACGTTACCTGCTTTTTTCCCGTCAATAATTAACTTCATTCAAACATACGTAATCCACTACCAGAGTTTGCAGTTACTCATTTTGTTTTTTATACTCGTGTCGTGTGCGACTAACAAAATAAGTACAAAGTTGATTACGCATGCAATTTCGCTGGCTTAAAATTTTGGCCGTTGCATGTCACGGTTGTTGCATAATCTCAATCATTAGCTCCTTGCTTAATATAAACACTAGAAGAACAACAACTCGTTGATCATGACCACAACAGACATGTTACAAAACACTCGGAAAGGTGCCTGTCAACTGCGCAATGTGTACTTAATCAGGTAAAATCATGCTGCCGATTCCCCTATCAGATAGTATCCCTCCCAAAGCGAATATAATCCTCCATTCACACCTTCTTGCAGAGTTATTCGTTCCATATATACACTTCAAAATTTCAGACTTTAACCCGCCCGGTGGGGGTAGGGTCCCGACCTTAGTGCGGCCTTCCTTGGCTTTAGGAGAGTTCAGTTTTCACACGTGCTGTGCTGCGTCGATTGAAAAGTAAGAGTAATTGCGGCCTTGGTGTGGTTGGAGCTGTACGCACAAGGAAAGGGATTGATGGCAATGTGGCACTCGACCTGCGGATGCCCGTTCACTTCTCTCCCTATCCCTGTTGGCAATATGTTTCCAGGAGCTAATTATTAGTGGAGCAGATGCATCTGTCGAAATGTCGTTGCAGGTGAACTGATCCAAATCAAAGTGCTGACTTGAAACCAACTGCAAGGGCTTGTGTAATTACGTCAGCACCACTGAAAAAAATAGCGCGCTATAGCATCGCTAATAGCACGCTATAGCGTATTGAGAATTGCCTCGCTAAATATATCGGTGTACAACGTCTCGCTAATAGCACGCTATAACGCGATATAGCACGCTAATAGCATATTTTAAGGTCGCCGCTATTTTGCTGTAGCGTGCTATTTTTTTCATTGGTCAGCACACATGTGCATGGCATCAGCACTCCAACCGTTCTTTCTTGTTTTTGCTGATTATTAATCTATGGAGTTGGTTAATTTTTGACCTCCACACAATGAGTGAGTGCAGTCTCCTCTTGTTATAACCCTTTTAAATTTGAATTGTGGATTAGGATCAACTGTGGCAGTTCGTTTTTTTTTTTTGAAAGATATTGGTAGTTAGTAGTTGACTGAACAATCTATGGAGTTGTGCACTGGTAGCACTAGCTGCGTACGCTTTAGTCCAACCTTTGCAAACGAAAAAGTGGGTACATCTGTTAGCTCAAGTTTCTTCACGGTTTGCTTTTGGGACTAGAAATCTGCCATATTTTAGGAGTGTAGCCGAGCATCGTGCTCTTTCTACTTTCTTGATAGAAAATGATGCACTTTGTGTGAGATTCCAAATGGAAACATTCAGCCTGTCTCCGGACCCAAAGGTTGCCTAAAGTTGACAGCCAAACCCAGACTGCATATGGCTTGCTCCCAACGTGAATGAATGATGGCATCGCATCACTAGTAACCTAAATCATTTCCTTTTCTGGCGTGACAGCATAAAATATAATTGTTGACCGATCGAACATGATAAAATAGTTTATTTGTGTGCCCATACGTCATTATTAGATACTGCTGCAAGTATTGCTTAGTTGTAGGAGTACGTAATATTCATAATGAAGTGTATACAATTAATTATATCGATAATTCTGGAAATAAAAGAAAATCCAAACTGAAAACCGCATGCATGCATGCAGGGTGGGCATCGAGCTCCCGACGGTGGAGGTGCGGTTCGAGCGGCTGACGGTGCAGGCGCGGTGCCACGTGGGCAGCCGCGCGCTGCCGACGCTGCTCAACAGTGCGCGCAACATCGCCGAGGGCGCGCTGGGGCTCCTCGGCGTGCGGCTGGGCCGGCAGGCGACGCTCACCATCCTCAAGGACGTCTCCGGCGCCGTCCGGCCGTCGAGGATGACGCTGCTGCTGGGCCCGCCGTCGTCGGGGAAGACCACCCTGCTGCTGGCCCTGGCCGGCAAGCTGGACCCGTCGCTGAGGTGCGCCGGCGAGGTGGCCTACAACGGGTTCCCGCTGGACGAGTTCGTGCCGCAGAAGACGGCGGCGTACATCAGCCAGACGGACGTGCACGTCGGCGAGATGACCGTCAAGGAGACGCTCGACTTCTCGGCCAGGTGCCAGGGCGTCGGCACCAAGTACGGTAAGTACACCAACCAACCCTTCACCTAGCTAGGTAGTAGGTAGCTGGCTAGCTGTGCATGGACTGCGTGGAGAATTTTAATCCATGGCCTTGCTGGCTTGGCTTTCGGACGAGTGGTGAATGATTGAGGATTTGAACGATGGGGAGACAAATATATTCTGATGCAGATCTCCTGACCGAGCTGGCGAGGAGGGAGAAGGAGGCCGGCATCCGTCCGGAGCCGGAGGTTGACCTTTTTATGAAGGTAAGCTTAACATCTTGGCATGCACAATCTTCACAGTTACTACCATGCAAAATCGGTGAAACCACATAAAACCTATGTTGTGAAGTTTTGAAAAAATCCCATAAAAAATACAGCATGTAGAATAGACGGGTTTGCATGGACATGTGAAATTCCAAGTTCAAACACAGATTCATTTGGGAGACATGGAAAAATAAATCAACAATGAATAGTGACATTTAACATCCCATGCATATTTGAAAACTTTCAAACATGATTTCCCTCGCAACTTGTTTTTCACCGGAGGATATTCTCTCCAACCACTAAACCCGAAATGTCCCTAAAGCTAGAAACAGAGGTCCATTTTTCGTGGAACGAAATGGCACTTGCGTGAAACATGTACGAACAGTACGATTGGCAGGTACGCCGGCCGACGTGTTCTCGGATGGTTCACAAAAAAGGGAAGCTTCTTATGAAATTGACTTGTTTTAATCACGTGCGACAGTAGTGCAGTAGCCAGACATGCTTTGTATCCAAGCTTTATGTACTTTCTCTGTACCGTGCACGTCAATGACGCATTCACTGTCTGTCTCCAGGCCACTTCCATGGAAGGAGTCGAGAGCAGCCTCCAGACGGACTACACGCTCAGGGTACGTACGCCCGCACGCCTTTCTGAATGTTTTCTTCACTGACGTAGTAGTATGAAGTTGCCGTTTTCTTGGTCTTGCTTTTTTGCTTGGCTGAAATTGGCACCGTAGCGAGGTTGGCGACATGGTACAGCGACCACACGTTGACAGATTTGCACCCATCTAGAAAATGTTCCCCATTTCTTGATCATGGACATGGCCAGTGCGTAGATTACACAAGCAAGGAACGGTCCCAGTCAGTCATGGACTGCACGGCACAAAGCAGAGGTGGTGGTGGCGGGGTGGCGGCACACGGTCGGGTGGGGCCTCGCTGCGTCTACCTTTGGGGACGGGGGGGTTGGTGGATGGATCATGGATGCACGCTCCGGCTCGCCCTGATGATGGTGCCAATGGCGTGCGTCACCGTATCGGGACAGGCGCAGCGCATCGCTCCGGCGGCCGCGAGATGCCCGTGACCTGTTTGCTGTTATGCGCGGCCAGAGCCGCTGCCTTTTCTTTGTCCCGCATGGCGGGTAGCGGTTCCTTTCGGGCCATCAACCCCCGGTTTGACCCCTGGTTAACGACGGGTGGCCTCAACGAAATGGAAATCTCGCCGTGGTCACCGTGACCGCGACGGACGTGGACGTGACGATGAAATTGTTTGTTTTTTGACTGAGTTTGCGCCTTTTTTCAATGGGAGCAGATACTGGGGCTGGACATATGCGCGGACACCATCGTCGGCGACCAGATGCAGAGGGGCATATCCGGCGGCCAGAAGAAGCGCGTCACCACCGGTAAGCTCATCATCATCATCATCATCATTGTGTCATGCTTATCTCATCATTATGTCATACTCCTATATTACAAGGACTTATTATTGAAAGGAATTTGTTGAACATGTTGGCCTTTCTAGAAGGCTGATGAGGTTTAGGTGTCCATACGTACATACTGTTGCCGTGTCACATCCTGTGGTTCCTACGGATGAAGGGTGTGTGTGTGCGCCATTGGGATGTGCTTCAGGTCCACACGTTAGGGGGCTGAGCGTTTGGTTGGGGAGTTTGGGAGGGGACGCGGCCATTAGCGTGCTGCCATTGCGCAGTTGTTGGATGGTCGTTGCCACTCTTTCGGCGTTTCCTCTTCAAGCGTACGGGCGAACGCTACGATCCAACCTCTGGAGCAACTAATCGCGATGCTGACATGCTACAGCTTCTTGCCTCTCTTTTGGCCTTTAGCGGCAGCCTATGCCGTAATTACTAGTACGTGATGGCAATACAGACGGGATGCAATTTACATGTACTGCTACTTGCTAACTGATACATTCCTGCATCAGCGTTCTCTTCAACTTGTTCTGCTTTGCTAAAAGCAAGACCAATCCATTACATATCGTTTCCACATTGCATGTTGCATTTCTTCTTCATGAAAGATTTTTTGAGAAAATAAAGTACATTCCATATAATTGAAGCCGAGCCGAAAGTGCAATCCGGAAAGCAGTTGGTTCTTTAGCTTAGAAATGTGTACCAATGCTAAAGCAACAAGTTCAAACCATTTCATGCGGATTTTGTGCTGAGGGGTCAATGGTTTGGTGTCAGCATGATATTGCTTGTTACCAAACTGTATTGATTTCTTCTTAATTGAAAAGACAGAGCTCCTGCCAGGTTCATAATGATTATAATAATAACATAAATTGATGGATCTAAGGAATTTTCAGAACATTACCAGGATGCATGTCTTTGAAATGATTTGGTTCATTTGGATTGCAGGAGAGATGATTGTCGGTCCGACAAAGGTGCTATTCATGGATGAGATATCGACTGGGCTGGACAGCTCCACCACTTTCCAGATTGTCAAATGTCTGCAGCAGATTGTGCACTTGGGCGAGGCCACCATCCTCATGTCCCTCCTCCAGCCAGCCCCTGAGACCTTTGAACTCTTCGATGACATCATCCTCCTGTCAGAAGGCCAGATTGTTTATCAGGGACCCCGCGATTATGTCCTTGAATTCTTTGAGTCCTGCGGCTTTCGCTGCCCAGAGCGCAAGGGTACTGCAGACTTTCTTCAAGAGGTAACACCCAGCAGTAGCCTAGTTATCTGTTACCATGTTCCTGAACGTTCCATGCTAATTATTATTTTTGAAGGGATGAAAGCTCCACGTTATGATATAAATGAAAACCTTGTATTTAATTTTCTCAGGTGACATCAAAAAAGGATCAGGAGCAGTACTGGGCTGATAAGCAGAGGCCATACCGATATATTTCAGTCTCAGAATTTGCGCAGACGTTTAAACGGTTTCATGTTGGTCTACAACTCGAGAACCATCTCTCGGTGCCATTTGACAAGAGCCGCAGCCATCAGGCTGCCCTGGTCTTCTCCAAGCACTCGGTGTCAACTCGAGAGCTCCTCAAGGCATCCTTTGACAAGGAGTGGCTCCTCATAAAGCGCAATTCATTTGTATACATCTTCAAGACCATACAGGTGGGCATAATTTTCCTGTCCATATCGCCACTTCTTAAAATCCACAATGCGAAGAACCTGACATTATTTCTCGGTGAACTCTGAAGCTCATTATTGTAGCCCTTATCGCGTCAACAGTCTTTCTAAGGACCCAGATGCACACAAGGAATCTGGATGATGGTTTTGTCTACGTGGGAGCACTGCTTTTTACTCTGATTGTGAACATGTTCAATGGTTTTGCCGAGCTCCCTTTGACCATCACAAGGTTGCCGGTGTTCTTCAAGCACCGGGACCTCCTCTTCTACCCTGCTTGGATATTCACACTACCGAATGTCGTTCTCCGAATCCCATTTTCAATTATTGAATCCATAGTCTGGGTGGTTGTCACATACTACACTATGGGATTTGCCCCAGAAGCTGACAGGTACATATGGAGTAGACTACATGTTGTTACGTGAATCAGGAACAATCACTTTTGTGACTGCTAAATTGCCATCTTTGTGTGCAGATTCTTCAAGCAGTTGCTGCTCGTGTTCTTGATCCAGCAGATGGCCGGTGGGCTTTTCAGAGCAATTGCTGGCCTGTGTAGATCCATGATCATTGCTCAAACTGGAGGAGCCCTGTTCCTTCTCATCTTCTTTGTCCTTGGAGGCTTTCTTCTGCCAAAAGGTCGTTTGCTTATCTTGTTCATTTTCACATCACATTGCTTCTGCAGCTTTGCTGACTAGTCCTTTGCTCTCCACTATCAACAGACTTCATCCCAAAATGGTGGATCTGGGGCTATTGGATTTCACCGCTGGTGTATGGATATAATGCTCTAGCAGTGAATGAATTCTATTCTCCTCGGTGGATGGACAAGTTTGTAATGGTTAGCCCACTGCAGCACTGATCTTTCACTGATTGACGTGTATGCTTTTCTAACAAGCTGTGTTTATGTTGATAGGACAAGAATGGTGTTCCTAAAAGACTAGGTATGGCTATGCTAGAAGGCGCCAACATTTTTACTGACAAAAACTGGTTCTGGATTGGAGCAGCAGGGCTGTTAGGTTTCACAATCTTCTTCAATGTGCTCTTTACTTTGTGCCTCACGTATCTGAATCGTAAGTATTGGAAAATTAATCTTATTGCCTTCCGAGTTCTGGTAATAAACTTCGGATCAGTATGTAACCCACTTACTCTTTACTCGTTAGCCTTGGGCAAACCACAAGCTGTTATATCTGAAGAAACTGCAAAGGAAGCAGAAGACAATGGGCTTCCGAGAGAGACAGTAAGCAATGGCAGCACAAGAAGAAATGGCAGCATGAAATCGAAGGATGGGTCCAATAACAGTAAGCTATTCTGACTGAATTCATATGTAAATAGGACAGAATAAGTAAAAGTTTCTAAACTGAAAGCTAAAATTATTTCAGAGGAAATGAGAGAGACGAGACTGAGTGCTCGTTTGAGCAATAGTTCATCAAATGGAATTTCTAATGGGATTTCACGAGTCATGTCCGTTGGCAGCAATGAAGCTGCTCCAAGAAGAGGAATGGTTCTTCCATTCTCCCCTCTATCTATGTGTTTTGATGATGTGAACTACTATGTCGACATGCCTGCAGTGAGTTCTATGCACAATTTTCTCATCATTGTTTTCCTCGAACAAGCATCAAAATGAGTCCTTGTGACTTTTTTCCACAGCATTTTGTCATGTTCTTATCATACCTTCCTCCTCAATTAAAAACCTGGAAAATTTATGAGGTCTTCCTATCTATGTAGGAAATGAAACAGCAAGGAGTGACTGATGATAGGCTCCAATTATTACGTGATGTTACTGGATCATTTAGGCCTGGAGTGCTAACAGCACTCATGGGAGTCAGTGGAGCAGGAAAGACCACTCTTATGGATGTTTTAGCTGGAAGAAAGACTGGTGGTTACATTGAAGGAGATATCAGAATTTCTGGTTATCCGAAGAACCAAGCAACATTTGCAAGGATTTCTGGCTATTGTGAGCAAAATGATATCCATTCACCTCAGGTCACGATTAGGGAATCTCTGATATACTCCGCCTTCCTGCGTCTTCCTGAAAAGATCGGAGATCAAGATATCACTGATGAAATCAAGATTGTAAGTCATGTCTTTTTGCCTTTCGGAATACTATATCTTTAGTTGCTTACTAACTTATATTGGAATATCGAATCATTTTGCTACTTTGACGAGGTGAATTAAGCATTTTCACTTGCTTTTTACAATTAGTGTATACCTCTTGGATCTTGGTACAAGTTAATTGGATGTTTGAGATTTGATAAATATGTCAAGAAATGTTTGTATAACTTGGAATTTTTTGTTTGCTTTATCAAGCTCTTATCTGACATGTTTCAATGGTTTCAGCAATTTGTTGATGAAGTTATGGAGTTAGTGGAGCTCGACAGTCTGAAGGATGCTTTAGTTGGACTGCCAGGAATTTCAGGTCTTTCAACAGAGCAAAGAAAGAGGTTAACAATAGCTGTGGAGCTTGTCGCAAATCCATCGATCATCTTCATGGATGAACCGACATCAGGTCTTGATGCAAGAGCAGCAGCAATTGTCATGAGAACAGTGAGGAACACCGTTGACACTGGACGGACTGTGGTTTGCACAATCCACCAGCCAAGCATTGACATCTTTGAAGCTTTTGATGAGGTGACTACTGAATATAGAAAAATCATTTTAAGTGTTAGTTCAACCTTTTCAGCAACTAAACTATAAATCGAGTTCTTTCCTGCAGTTACTATTACTGAAAAGAGGAGGCCAGGTAATATACTCTGGGAAACTGGGTCGCAACTCACAGAAAATGATTGAATACTTCGAGGTACGGATAGTTTTACACGATTATGGTTTTTTTTAAGTGGGAGATATCATTTAAATAACTAAAATAATATAATATTATGTTCAATGCTACCAGGCGATTCCTGGAGTGCCTAAAATCAAAGATAAGTACAACCCTGCAACGTGGATGCTTGAGGTCAGTTCAGTTGCTGCAGAAGTACGCCTGAGTATGGATTTTGCTGACTACTACAGGACTTCAGATCTGTACAAGTAAGAAAAACATATTTTTCATCACATGGACCTCTAATGTTTTTCTCAAAGTGTATAATCACGGCACAACTTTAAGGAACAAAGTTCTCATGCAATACACTGTCTGTATTTCCAGGCAAAACAAGGTATTGGTGAGCCAGCTAAGTCAACCAGAACCAGGAACATCAGATCTATATTTTCCTACAGAATACTCGCAATCCATTATAGGGCAGTTCAAAGCCTGCCTCTGGAAGCATTGGCTGACCTATTGGCGCAGTCCAGATTACAACCTTGTCAGATTTTCCTTCACTTTGTTCACAGCCTTGCTGCTTGGCTCCATCTTTTGGAAGATTGGCACCAATATGTAATTACTATACTTATCTTTATCTTTGACTCCTTAATCCTAATGTACCAGCATCTGAATTTTTGGTGCCTTGTGATGCAGGGGAGATGCCAATACTCTTAGAATGGTCATTGGAGCAATGTACACAGCAGTGATGTTTGTCGGCATCAACAACTGTGCAACCGTTCAACCAATTGTTTCCATCGAGAGAACAGTTTTCTACCGAGAGAGGGCTGCTGGGATGTACTCTGCACTGCCATATGCCATTGCTCAGGTAAGAATAGAGTAAAATAAAAGAGCTATGACTAAACAGAGTGGTAGATAAAATATTAAGGTTGTCATTGGCTTCTTCGGGTATCTCAAGCCTTTGTGTTGCTTCAGGTTGTCATGGAGATACCCTATGTCTTCGTCCAAACCTCGTATTACACCCTCATCGTATACGCCATGATGAGCTTCCAGTGGACAGCTGCCAAGTTCTTCTGGTTCTTCTTCGTCTCCTACTTTTCCTTCCTCTACTTCACCTACTACGGGATGATGACTGTATCAATCTCACCGAACCATGAGGTTGCGGGCATCTTTGCCGCAGCTTTCTATTCCCTATTCAACCTTTTCTCTGGCTTCTTCATCCCAAGACCGGTAAGTTGTGTTCCTATATCAGATGATTGTTGCAGTTCTTGCTTTTTCGTAAGATCAATTATTTATTCTGTTCTTGCTTTGTCCAGAAAATCCCCAAGTGGTGGATCTGGTACTACTGGATTTGCCCATTGGCATGGACAGTGTATGGGCTCATAGTTACACAATACGGAGACATGGAAGACACCATCACCGTCCCAGGCCAACCTAACCAGACAATCAGCTACTACATAACTCATCATTTTGGATACCACAGGAGCTTCATGGCGGTCGTTGCACCAGTGCTTGTGCTCTTTGCAGTGTTCTTCGCTTTCATGTATGCTCTCTGCCTCAAGAAGTTGAACTTCCAAACACGGTAGGAGCAGAAAGCCAACAGACAAGATCTCGCAGGCGATATGGTCGATTTTTCTTGAACCAACTCTTCTTTTGTCCTTCCATTTTTGGGTCTATTTATGCAGTGCCAGTGTAAATACAGGTGTAGTTTTTTGTATTCCTTACATAGTCAAATGCGATGAGGGTGCACCAGCCTTTCAGGCTTGGAAGTGTATTGAATTGCAAATTTGCAAGACTGTGCGATGAGCAGAATTTGTTCATGGCCTATAAATACGTTGGAGTTTTTTCTTTCACAAAGTTCACAATCAATTTTGTCGAGCAGTGAGGATAGCAGCCCTAGGTCTTTCTGAATGGTGAATGATTTCTTCATTTTTCTGTTACCTACAAGTTTAAATTTTGAGCTCATGAGGTCGGATTTCGAATACGTTACATAATAGGCATTTTCCGGTGATGTTAAGGGCCATGCTGTAGTGGTGAAATATAAGAATGCTCAACATCCTGACGTACATAACTAAAACATCCAATTTTCAGAGTACTGTACAATTTCTTATTCTCAATTGCTCGTATCGTTGGAACAGGGAGATGCTATCTTTCATTAAAAAAAGGGGAAGAAGCTAAAACAACAAGAATGACAACCTTTCTTCTATTTAACACTCAACAATGTTTTGTCGAAGCAGTGTCGTATGTACAATGCCATTTACATTTCTCGCTTAAATAAAGGGCAGCATCACTAAGCAGCCATCAACTTAAAAATACTTTCTGAATTTTCTGTACATAAAGGAACAAGAACATTGGAAGAAGTTCATCGACTTTGAGCTAATTCCATCGCTTTGGAGTATTCAAGGTTCTTGGTGAGGATGTTGCTTGTGTGATTGTGCTTCTTCGTGTGCTTGCTGATGCTGTAACAAAATAGTTGGTAAACACTTCAGAGTACTGTATGTGTGTCTGGACCTAGTGAAGTTTATGTCTGCTGTATTGTATCAAATATATATAATTTAAGCTCAGATAATTTAAATTGTACCCGAAATGTTTGGTTACTGAGCTTAGTTCACGAATGGGTAAATACTGCACAGGAATAACTGGGGATGGCGCCGATCGAAGCAGATATAATACTAGAGTAGGGAGAAATAGACCATAGGTGCAGGAGGAGACCTTTAATGAACAGATATGATGCATATAGAGCTCACTTGGGTGGCGCCGTAAGACTCAAACTATCTTCCTAATCTCCCAGCCAAACTAACAGAGCTAAATCTGCTGCAGTTCATGAGCCACAGTAACCGAGTGCTATAGTCTATGAGCTATCATAACTTGAAGTGGACCCACACTGATGGCATGTTCCCTGTGGCTTGGTAAATTATCTTATCATGTTGTCTCGTGAGTACTGGTTTAATTATTTCGAGCAATAATCTGCACTTGTTTTCGCGATCAATGGAACATTCTGAAAAATAATACTAGTGTACTTATCTTTAGATAATAGTACTAGTGTAGCACTAGGTGCACATTACTACCAAATTAGATGGCTGGTTCTGGTTACCAGGGTAGTAACTGGTCAAGCACTGGCGTAAGCCAAGGTCAAGGAACCCCATGACTTCCCAAGCAATGGACTGGTTTGGCTGATTTATGGGCAAAGATTACCAGTTATAGTATCTTTATTTTGTTCTCGTATTTATGAAGTTACAATGACAGATTGTTTCCTTACAAGAAATGAAAGAGAGGTCCAACCATAAAAGTGTGTGTCCATTAGAAAGATTCAAGTGACACTTATCTAGAAGCATTACAAGGACATTGCAATAACATTTCTGTACTTTATTTACTCAGATATTTAGATCCTAAGCCATCGAACAGCTGATTTAATTGCACCCCAAAGCAATAACATTTTTTCCCCCGCAAAAAAAAGCAGTAAACCATATCTGCTATGGGTGGTGCACAATTTCGATGGCATACAAGTGAGCTTACCTGAAGATCTAGGAGTAGAATCTCTTGATTTGGGCCACACACTAGAAGATGGGGCTGTTTTTGGTGTTGTTGCCTTTTGTACTCGAGTGGTCACCTTAGGTCTGCATGAGGAAGAATGAGTTCTTACAAATAAAAATAGGTAGGACAATAGGTAAAGATATAGATATATTCATATACATTTTGACATCATAGTGCCTACTCATCTACTCCAGTCACATGGGTTGCTTTTACTTAAATTAATTAATAGTGCATTTTACATGGTAGAGGATACTAAAGGGAATTCCTCCCCTCCTATGAACAGAAAGATGGTACTAAAGGGAAAATGGAACCATGAGTTCATGATGCTACCGAGACAACCGGAAGTACTTACAGTCGATCTTTTGGTGTGTTGGGTGCATTTTCTTGTTCTTTCCATGTGCTAGCTATTTTTTCCTGCTCCGGGAAGAGAGCAAAGTCAATCATGCTACTTATTGAGCCGTCGGTTTCTGTACCCATGGATATGCCACTATCTGATATATCGCTTAACCTCCCCTCCGAATCAGCATAACCAAAGCTGGCAAGCTCAGGATCAGCTGAATTCGAACCCATCTCGTCTTCAGGGAGCTTGGAAAGTACCGTAATCTCCCTCTGCTGCTGGATATCATCAACCGACTGCATAGAGCTAGTTTCGGAATGCCTGTCACTGATCTCAGAGAAGTTATCAGCATCGGAGCCTGCCCTACTGATAAGGCCCATTGCCTTTCCACCAGATGCCGTTCTTCGATGTTGTATTTTGCTTCCAAGGGATGATATGCCTGGGGAGGAGGACGAATGTTTCAGCAAGGAATCAACACGTTTGCCTGTCTTTACCCTTGGACTGTGAGTCTGTAACTGGTTGATTTCTTCATCCTTCTTTGCAATTTTATCTTTGAGCAGTGAGAGCTGCAGGGTGAAAAAGGAATATTAGAGTAATCAAATGATACATGGAAGTATCTTGTGGTAAACTGTTAATATTTTTTTTAAAACAAGAAAAACAACTGTAGTTGCATCTCATGTCAGAGGTAAGTGTCCACAGCATCTACTATGTTTTGCAGGTGCATAGACCACATGAAGGATGGTAGAATAGTAATATGTGATCAAGAGAAGTTGGTTATACATTTCCATTGTCCTTGTGTCAACAATAAATTAGTAATTAACAAAAAGGAATACGGAAATTCTTCACCTGTTCCTTAAATTCTCTTATATCTTTGCCCTCTTTATTTGCCTTTGCAGCACCTAGTTCCACTCCCGAAACCCTTTCAGCAAACCTCAAAGTACTTAAACTCTCTGCATAAGATGACACATCTGGATTGATCTGCACAAACATGAGGGTCTTTGCATGGCCACCTACAAATGAATCTTTTTAAGTTAAGAAATATATATAACATGCAAAACAATGTTATATAGCTGATGAGGAAAGGTAGGCACCCAAAGAACTCTGCAGGACTTGTGTAAGTTTGCTGTTTCGATATGGCACATGAGAAGTCTTCTGTGATAAAGAAAATATAACATCTCCAAGAGCAGACAGAGATTTATTGATGTGTTGTGCTTCTTTGAGTCTATCGCCTGCAACAGCAGAACGGTCCACCCTTTCACTCCCAGCAAGATCAACAAGATGGAGAGCCCCGCGCAAAGTAGCTCCAGTTTTCAAATCTACACCTTGAACGTGTACAGTGACAACACTGAAAAAAAATACTCAAAATGAGCCTGAGTTTCAATAGAATCAGAAGGAAACCTCTACTGGACTTATGGAACAGTAAGATTAACCTGTGAGATCTGCTGCTTCGCTCGTTCAGTGCTGTTGCACCCACAGATCGGTTCCCAAGTCCTGTTCTCATTAACTCAATAACATCGGTCGTTGAGTTGACAGGATGCAATGTTGCATCAGGAACAGCAAGCCCATTGGGACGACTGGAATTCAAAATCCCTAGAGTGTGCAAGTTAAAGGAAACAAGAGTCTGTTCTTTACAAACTTGCATTTGTAACCTTCCGGAGGTTTGAGGGAGTGTGCTATGACAAAATGAACAGACAAGTGGTATTCCATTAAGGACGGTAAAGGGATGTTCGACCAAGTTCCAAGTTTCTACACGTTCATTTGAAGCGAATCAACTGATTAGTCAAGTTTACAACTAGACCTTAGGTTAAGTACTCCCTCCGTTCCTAAATATAAGTCTTTGTAGAGATTTCACGATGGACCACATACGGATGTATGTAGATGCATTTTAGAGTTTAGATTCACTCATTTTGCTCCTTATGTAGTCCATAGTGGAATGTCTGCAAAGACATATATTTAGGAACGGAGGGAGTACTTCAGTTGCATTAATCCTTCTTTTTAATCTATACACACTAACAATGGATTTGTTAACTAAATCAACACATCATAGTTGATGTATGCTGACCACATCAAAACAGATCAATATGCATAACATAGGTGACTATACAATGGAAGCGACAAAAGGATATTTCTTCTCTGAACCATTGCTTCCTAAGAGATCATGGATTTGTTCGTTGTATATTTCAATCATTTGAACACTAACTTCATAATTGAATGTATCTCCTCGATTGCGTGATATAAGGAACAGGTCGTTCAGAGCTCTGAAATTGACACCCAATTCCTCCTCAGTAGCATCTTCAGGTCCAGTCTGATTCATTAAAAAAGGCACAATAAACACATCGTATCTGTCAATAAATAATGTTTATAATTCTCAATAAAGAATTTGAAGACTGTTATATTGAGATCTTCATACCATTGTGTAGGTTTTTCCTGATCCAGTTTGTCCATACGCAAAAATGCAAACATTATAGCCATCAAGGACTGATCTAACTAGTGGTTGAATGTCCTTGAATACCTCATCTAGAAAAAAAACATAAATAAAAAAATCAAACCACATCATATACTACCACTGAATAGGCCACATATTCATCAGTACCTTGAGAAGTAGTGGGGCCAAGAACTTTGTTAAATTTAAACAACTTATTCCCCTCTTTTCCAATTTTTGTAGGGTTTGCTAAAATGAGTTCACCGTTATCACCAGTAATTTCAGTTGTACTA